GCTAAGGTCCTGAGGCTGCCCTTGAACCTGGGATCCTCCTGCCTCAGCCTCCCGAGTTGCTGTATCACAGGCATGTACCACCATGTCCTGCGCCTCTGGGCTTTCTGGATGGAGTTGGGGAGGGAGAGAGGCAGTAGACTTTGGTCGGAGATGCTAAAGGTGGTAAACTGGGAAGCATTGAAATGATGAGAGGAGAGCATGATAATACAAGTGGGGCTGAATAGGTTTTCAAATAGGTCAGGATTTTCATCCATCTATCTGTCTATCTTTTCTTTGCAAGTTTTGTTTTCTTCTAGGCTTTTTTCTATGAGCAGATGCTTTGCCCTTTGTCAGTCTATATGTGGTTTTGTGTGTGTACCTGACTTTTCTCTGAAAGCTTAACATGCCACAGGCATTTCCCCCTGCGATTCAAATACTGCACAGCCAGCGTAATAGTAGGGAATTTGCTGAGTGCTTACTTGTTCTCCAGGCTTTGGGCCAAGAACTTTCCATGAACTACCTCATTGAATCCTCATGATCAAGCTAAGAGGATGTCCTTCTGTCTGCCCTGTGATATGGATGAGAAGGCTGAGCAGAAAAGACACTGAGTATCTTGCCCTTGGTTACAGCGCAGGCAGAGGGGTGGAGGAGGGGTTTAAATCCAGCCAGGAGGTTTCTGCCTCCTGGGTGGGGCTCTCACTTGGGTCCATGTCTTTATAAAGGTTGTTTAAAAGCTGGAATCAATATTCCATTGTTCATGTACATTACATGTTGCTTAATTGGGTTGCTTTACTTTAATTCTGTTTTGCATTTTAAGAAACTCGGTTGTGTGCGTCTGCTGGTGTGGGTGACTGGAACGTGGGCCGAGGACGGGTGGATTCCTAGGTTGCCTGATCTACACCTGGACACTTGCAGAGTAGCGACAGAGTACCAGGCTTGGGGTCCGCGCCCAGGGGCTCGTTTTCATTCCATGTTTGCCAAGGCAGCAAGTCGCTGTCACTGGCCCCTCTAGGACTACTTGCCCCCTCCTGTCACTGCTGTGTGTGTAATCAGTCACTAAAGAAGAGGCGGTCCCTTCAGTCTAGGAGAGGCAGCTCTGTGGAAGTTGCTGGGTACTTTTCCTCGATGTCCTTGAGGATTGATGGCCATTTTGTCCAGATGGAGGCGTGTTACTTCACAACAGGTGGTCAGCCGTGAGGGGTAACTGAGAGATAGAGGGCTCCTGTGTGTGTGCACACAGCAGGTTTAAGGTTAAAAAAGGTGCATATTTACAGGCAACGTAAATTTTACATGGGAATCTGGTCTTTTCAGGTTTTTCTTCTTAGCATCTGAACTGAATTTAGAGGGGTTTTCCTCTTGGGGGTCCTTAGTAGTGACCAGGCCTTGTTTGAGAGCTCATGGCCGCTCTCTCCAGTGTTGGGTGGTTCTGTGCTCAGGCCGGGGGCCTTGGTCTGGTGCTGGTGACCCGCGCTCACCCTGATGTGGAGAGGTGACGGTCGTCTTGCTGGTTTTCCATCGCTGTGGGTGACCAGGCGATCCCAGGCTTGTTTTGCGCTGGCCACCTGGAACAGCGCTGTACCGTCCTACAGTGAGGAGCTTGGAGACTGCTGACTCTCGGGCCCTCGGGCCTGGCCCTTCAGGTGCTCGTGGTCCTTAGCCAGGTGTGTTTCCACAGGTGACCTGAGGAAAGTGAGGGCCTTCTCGGAGCCCAGCCCTGTGCCTGGGCCTTTTGAGCTGGGTGTGCCTCTTCTCTGTGCTTTGGTCAGTTATTAAAGTCCTGACCTCCACATAGTTCAGTAAGTGCCATGGTTTTTCTAGATCTTTAATTAAAGATTGGCAGGAGTAAAGTTGAATATGAGGAAGGTAGAGAATTTAGCTGAATGAAATAGGCAGATGGCCTGGTTTTGTCATGAGGAGGAGGGTGGGGAAAGGGGTACGAACACAAAGCAGGAGAGGCGGGTCCTTTCCAGGGTTCCCTCCTGGCCTGGCCACCCCCAGGCAGGAAGTGGGGCTGGCTCTTTAAAGGGCAGCGAGGTTCCTGTGACTAGAGAAGACGAGTGTCGCCATCGGTTTTCTCCTGCCGTATGGGAAGCCACACACTGGGTCGGTAGTGGACATTTCTCAGTCCTGGATCTGGGAAGTCCAAGAGCTTGGCCTTGGCCTCTGTGAGGGTCCCTCATGTTGGGGGCAGGCGGATCTCCGCGGAGCTCTGGAGAAGACACCCCGACCGCAGCAGGGCCCGCGGCTGCCAGGAGCCGCCCTGGTGTGCCAGCCCCTGGCGGGCGGGCAGACGGGCCTTGGTCCTCACGGCCTCTGTCCTCGCGGCCTCTGGTCCTCGCGGCCTCTGGTCCTCGCGGCCTCTGGTCCTCGCGGCCTCTGGTCGGTGGGGACAGCATTCTTTTTGTTATGGTCTCTTTCTCCCAGACTCGTCCTTAGAGGAGGCGAGGAGGGCCTGCAGCTGGGGCCGTGCGTGGGCCACAGGGCTCCTCCATGCCCTCCTTCGCCTCCGGCAGCCCCTCCTGGCCTCTCCTGAGGGGTGCCCCCGGTGCAGCAGTGGGGTGCTGCGTACCCCGTCTTGTTCTGGGAGAGGTGAGTTCTGGAGGGGGTGGGGGTAGGAGGTGGGGGCACCTTATCTGAAGCCGTGACCAGTGCTCAGGGCAGCCTTAACCCTCCTGAAAGGAAGTTCCCGAGGTGGCTGGCAGGATGGCATTTCCTCTGCCAAGGAGAGCTCCACTGCAGCAGAATCTCGAGGAAGGTTCCTTTCTGAACAGGCCTTCCTCCTGGTGCGAGCGTGTGTGAGGGGTTAGTGTTTCTTGGCATTGCTCGCGTTCTTATCCTGTGGCTGGCGTCGCCTGTGGAGCAGCGTGGCTGGGCGTCTCTCTCCATTGGACAGGAACAGGCCTCTCTGCATGTTGACAGGGTGTTCTGAGAGGGCCTCTTCGGACTTCACCTTGGAAACAGTACAAGGTCATAGGAAATCATGAGGCCGGCCCAGGTCCTGGGGTGGGAAACACTCTGTCCCACAGGGAGCAACAAAGTAGCATAGGGTGACCGACCACCGGGACGGTTACCTGTTGGCACCATTAGGGTAGCAGTCTGCTGCTTGCCTTCTGCTTCTCTCAGGCTGCAAGGCTTGCTCTCCCCTGCCATTTCCTCCTCCGTCCCACACAGCAGCGGGCTCAGGTCTGGGGTCGGGTGGGGCAGCTAGTGAAGAGCCATCATCTCAGCTGTCATGAGCTCAGGTCTGGGGTCGGGTGGGGCAGCTAGTGAAGAGCCATCATCTCAGCTGTCATGAGCGAGAGGGAGGAGGGTCTGCAAACAGGGCAGGAGCCGGAGCCTGTGCCGGAAATGGTCATGGTTCCCATGGCTCCGAAGGGGAGGCAGGACTGGCAGTGCCGGCTGCACCTGGCTTCTGGCGTCCCTCTGTCTCTGGTTGAGGAACAGACCAACCCACACCTGTTGACTTCTTGTTTCTCCTGATTCTGTGGGTCGCTGGGCAGTCCTGGCCTTTCCTGGGTGCTCTGCAGCCAGCTGGTGGCCCTGTTGAGGCTGGATGGCCTAGGGGGACCTTCTGCAGGAGCTGGGGCCTCAATGGAGTCCAGGAAGTGACTGATTGGTCTCCCCACTGGCTGGGAGGTGTGCCAGTCACCTCACAGGCAGGGGGGATTCCTTGGGAATTGGAGGGGCTTGGGGAATTCCTCCACTTCCCCTGCCCCTCTCTTTTTCTTGGTTTGAGGTGGGGCAGCAGGAGAGGAACTGACCTAAAACATACTGTGGCAGTCACCTGTCCGCCCGCCTTGCTTCTCCCCAGTGTTGGTTCTGCGTGTGTGGTCCCAGACCAGCAGCAGCAGCAGCAGTGTCACCTGGGAACTCTAAGTTCCAGATTGACTTAATGGGAAATTCAGCCTGTGGCTCAGCCACCTTCTCAGTGAGTCTGACGCGCTGAAGTGTGAGGACCTGCTCTTAGGAGTGAGGGTGGTGGCTGGCTGCCTTCTGACTTAGGGCCTCGGGCCCTTGCCACCTCTCTGTTGTCAGAAGAAATGCTGCCCCCAGCCTCCCTTCAGGCCCTCCGTCTCTGAGCGAGAGTCTTCTTTGTGATGTCTGACCTAGGTCCTGTTTGTGTCTGTGTATGTCTGCACAAAATCCACATGTTGTGTCCACCGAGAACTAAAAAATAAATACAGGGTCACGGAGCATCAGTGTCCTGCTGCTCCTGGTTCCCAGGCTCCTGGGACACCCCCCGTGCAGTCTAGCAGTGGAGGAATACAGGGTGACGTCCAGTTGAGCAGGGGAGGTGACAGATTCCGACAGTAAGTGCTGGGCTTGAGATGTCTGGGCAGGAAGATGATACCTCGCAAGCCGTGGGTCCTAAGGCTCAGGCTCTGAAGGCCGGGCAGGAGCTGGTGCAGAGAAACCTGTCCTGGGCCCAGGAAGTTAGTGCCGGGTTTCCCTGAGGGTGGCTTTCCTCGGAATCTTGTAGAGTGCTCTCCAGGTGGATTTTGTGCATCCCCACCCCACAGCCTTGTGAATAATAGGTGTCCCCGACGGTTTTGATGAGCAGGATTTGGAAACACTGACCTAAACCCTGACCCTCACCCTGACCCTCTCGGCTTGCTCCAGGAGGCCTGGGGTGGAGCTGGGTCTGTCCTGAGTTAGGCTGGCCTAGATGGGTCGGTATGTAAGATCTTGTGGAACCCGGAGGTAGGGTGGGGGTAGGAGGGTCGGAAGGAGAGCTGAGAGCAGGGTTCTAGATGCCAAGGGACTGGAAAGTTACAAGGAGGAGGAGTAGTTGGCGGGCTCAAGTGCAGGGCACTGCGCCACTGGTGACCAGAGGCAGCTGAGCCAGGCTGCGGTGGGGTGGGGGGGCAGGTGTGGATGCCCGGCAGGACCTTCCCAGGAGGAGCTATGTCAAGGTGGAGGCTGCGGGCGCTCTTGTTTGGAAATGGGAGAAGCCTGAGCGTGCTGCCCTGGGCGGGGAGCCAGTGGAGGGGGTGGGTGGAAGAGGCAGTTGAAGTAGAGTCCTGGAGCAGAGAAGGATGGATTCCAAAGCCCAGCTTTTAGGATTGGCCTTGAAGAAAAGGAGGGCCACCCTACCTCGTCCCGGAGGGAAGGAGGTAAGGGGGACCGTGTGAAGGTGGACGTGGTAGCTGCTGGGAGTGGCCAGCAGCCACTGGCCTCTGCCCCGTTATTTTGAAGAGGAGATGCCCCCTCCCAACCACTGGGGCTGTGCAGGAGGGCGGAGGCCGGACTCGAGGCACCATGCAGGGGGGGAGGGTGCCAGGTGCCCACCGGGATTCTCTGGCCACCTTTGGGGATGTTCCCAGCTCCCCAAAGTGACTTTGAGGGGTGTTCACCTGGAGTACCTGACAGGTTTGAAAGTATATTTTAGGGCTGCCCACGGCTTCAGAAATAATACCCACTCTGGTGAATCGATGGTCCTGGGCTCTGGCTGCTGTCACCGACCCTGGCAGATGCAGGGCACTTGGGCCGTTTCCGAAGCCTGGAATACAAGTTCAGGCTCCCCGCGTGGTTAGGTCTCCAGCACTGAGAACAGCAGGTGCTCAGGAAGCGCACTGGGGCTCCGCGTGAGCCAGCCGTGGCCACGTGTGCAGCGCTTTGGTGGAAGCCCCGGGGGCGGGAGCCTCAGCTGCCCCGTGACTGTGTGTAGCTTTCCACGAGCCAAGGCGTCTGCGCTGGCCTCTGGTCCCTGTGGTGCTGGTGTTTGTTAGGCTGTGGCTCCATAGGACGTCCCCTTCTAGTTTTAAGTGTCACTGTCTCTCTTTCATGTATCCTTCCTTCCTGGCCCGTGGTTTTGAGCTTTCTCACTGTGGGTGCACAGTCTCCGTGGGCCAGGCTCTGCCCCTCTGTGAGAAGGAGGCTGCCTGTGACTTGGTGCCTGTGTTATCGCTGTGCCTTGTTTTGTTTCCTGGGCGGGGAGGCTCCCACACTAGGCCACAGGCTGACCTGCTCCCATGGCTCCCTTGGGCAGTGCTTGCTGGGACCTCTGAGTGTTTCTTCCCCCACCAGGTGAGGGGTGGGCGCCTGACAAGACTCACTCCACTCTCTGGTTGTCACCGCTGTGTCCTGTGCCGGGGACCTGCTTTGGCCCTGCTGGGCTTCTCTCTACCCTCTTCTCTTATTCTCTTTACTTCCTTTTCAGTCCTCCCTCTCCTCTCTGACCCTTTCCCATCCTATTCCAGTGTCTTTGAAGGCTCCACGGACCTTCGAGGGTTGTCTCCGCATCCCCTTTCTCCTGCATGCAGGGTTGTTCTAAGGGAGAATGTGTCCCTAGGGCTGCTGGCTGGAGCCCTTTGATGCCCAGGGAGGTTCCTGGCTGGTGCTTGTCACTGGGGTGGGGCTGGGCAGTTGCTTGTTCTGAGGTGTGCAGCGGCTCTGTGCACCTGGCTCTGCTTGCTAAATGTTAGTATCCCCCCCCCCCAGTTTTGTGACAAATAGCCCCTCACATCACTTCTGCACATTCCCTGGGGATGACAGGTTACTGCCCCCGTAGAGAACTCAGCTGTTCACACATCTCTGTGCAGGGGGCACCGCTAGGGTGGGTGCCTGACCATTCATGATGGTAAAGAACTTTTAGGAACTATTTCAAGGACACAGCACTTATGTGACAGAACAATGCAGGCTGCTTACTGTTTTCTGGGATTCGGTTGGATTGTTGCTGTAGGTGGAGGCAGCAGTTGTCAATGAGGGTGCAAAGGACGGTGGACACTGGGCTTTGCACCAGTCCCTCATGGGTGGACTGTCTGCCCCCTCATCCCCATCTGTTGCCTGATGTAGTAGATACCTGTGTTTTAATAAACACCCACTTGGATTTAGGTAATTTTGGGGATAGGGTGGAATTTTTGTTTAGACAAGAGTGTGCTGTTGGGATTGAACCCAGGACCTTATGCCTGCTAGGCAAGTGCTCCATCACTGACCTGCATCCCCAGACCAAGACAGGTTTTCCAATAAACTGTGTCCATTCTAGCACGTTCACAGAATCATTTAGGCTTTTAATTCCACTTTTCTTCTTTAATTGGGTAATTATTCTTGTTGCACATTTACCACGTTTATCAGTCTAGTATACCTATGTAGGGGAGAGCCAGGAATCTTAGGTCCTGACCCTGAAGAACAGTGTTCCCAACCAGTCTGATCCTTGACACAGAAAACAGGACTATGGACTGAAGCATTATAAATAAAGAAATGATCATGGCACTGTGAAGTATAAAGGTTTTCCTTCTTTTTCTTTTCTCCTGCAGAACCTAAAAGCAGACCCAGAAGAGCTTTTTACGAAACTGGAGAAAATTGGAAAGGGCTCTTTTGGTGAGGTGTTCAAAGGCATTGACAATCGGACTCAGAAAGTGGTTGCCATAAAAATCATTGATCTGGAAGAAGCTGAAGATGAGATAGAGGACATTCAACAAGAAATCACAGTGCTGAGTCAGTGTGACAGTCCCTATGTAACCAAATATTATGGATCCTACTTGAAGGTAAGGCTTAAAAATAGTGCCGTTTTCCATCTTGCAGCACTTGGCTGAGCGGGGACAGGAAGGACTGCTGCAGCACAGCAGGCTTGCTCAGGAAGAAGGGTGACGTGACCTTTGCAATCAGAGCAAGCTGACTTCGATGGTCTATCATTTTAAATGTCGCCTATAGAAATTTATTTTTGGCAAGAAGTGTTTGATGTTGACATTCTCTTAGAAACAACAGAGAGTATTTCTGGGTGGGGCTTTGGCATCAAAACTGTCTCTCAGTATCACAGTAACTGTTAATCACCCAATTTTAGGATGATTTATGAGCAATAATAAAAACTCATGCCAGCCTAAGAATATTAATCTCTTAATGTTTTCCATCATAACTGCAATTTAATTTAATGCTGTTTTTAAAGACTGTGGCTGAGAATTGTTAATTTTGATAGCTAGTTTATCTCCACTTCTCAGAATACGAAACTGTAAGTTACAACAACAGAGCACTACAAACTATCCTTGGCCTTTATGCTATTCCTAGAATCGTATCAAAATGGTTTTCCGATCTTGATGGAACCGGTTCACTCTATTAGATGTTGCAGGGTCATCTTCTCTCCTGAGAAGTTCTAAGACTGTTCTTGTGTTTTGGGTTCCTAGAGGTGTTCATTTCATGAGCTACAAATGTGTAGTATCTTTTAAACTGAGTTTTGGAAATCAATTCTGAAATAATCCTCATGGAAATCAAAACATGGTAGGTAGAAATGACGATTTCCCGAGCAAAGCAGCACTACGCCTGGATGGTTAAGATTGGGTCTGTCCTCTCCTGTGAGTTTATCTATCTGCTTGAGAAACCTGCTCTGATGTAAAAAGGGATAATATAGGTTTTGATTTTGTGGAAATGTGAATAAAAAAAGATATTAGTTGAAGGTTGGAAATTCTGAGAACCATTGATTTACCAAAATGAATATTTAAAGGAAATCAAAATTGAGTGGTAATACTATTTTCCATTCTGTAAATGGTATCAATATGGCATGGCTAGCTCAAATGTAGCATTTTGAATTGGGAGTGAGTTTTGGAGTCAAATGTCACCAGGCTTGAATCTTGTCATCATTTACTTTGGTGTGTGGCCTTGAGTGAAAAAAAAAAAAATTGTTTTTAAAGCTTCCTTGCTTCCTGATTTGTAAAATGGAAAATACCCATTGTTGCAGGGCCAGGGATGTGGTTCATTGGTAGAATGCTTAAAATCCTGGGTTTAGTCCCAGCACTGCAAAACCTCAAAACAAACAAGAACCCATTGTTGTAAAAATTAAATGGAAAATAAGAATGTGGAAGTACCTTCAGTCAGCTTTCCATGGCTGTGACCAAAATACCTGACAAGAGCCACTTGAGAGGAGGACAGTTTGTTTTGGCTCCCATTTTCAGAGATTTAGTCCATGGCCAGCAGACTCCTGGTCTGGGCCCAAGGTGAGCAGAACATGATGGGAGGGTGTAGCAGAGGAGAAAGGAGAAGGGGCCACAGGTGGATATACCCTTTCAGAGCACGCCCCCGCTGGCCCATCTCCTTCTGCTTACAGTCGCCACCTGTCAGTCACCAAACTAGGATGGACTGATTGGGTCACAGCTCACAATCCGACCATTTCACCTCTGAATATTCCTGCATTAACACAGGAGCTTTTGGGGGACACCTCCTATCCAAACCATAACAAGTAGGTACCTAATCTTAATTTCCTTCCTTAATTGGTTGGATTTGTTGAGACCTCGTCTCTTAAATTGCCTTGTAGTGAAGGCAATTTCACCTTCAGTGAAAGTATCCAGTGAGGTCAAACCAAGAAAACCGGACCAGTGAGAGCTGAGGAAGGAGGCCAGTGCCCAGAGTGAGTGTTGCGTGCTGGTGCCCCAGCGTGGCACTCACCAGGCAGCCGGGAGGCACCGCAAGCCTTCTCATGACCAGAGGAGAGCACGTGCGGCTTCCACAGGGGAGAGCCAAGGTCGAATGGATATTAGATTTCTAAGAAGAACAAGCTCAGCGTGGAGTCTGTGCTGTGCTGCTTCGTGTGCTGTCGGGTTCCTGCAGCAGTGGTGGTCCGCAGATTCCCAGTTGGCATTGATGGTTTGTGCTGTTGTATGGTAGATCCTCAGAGTGTGATTTAGCTCAGCTGCCGTGTAACTGGAAATTAGGGCTCAGTGGCTACGCATGTCTTCAGCCTCAGCTCTGCAGCAGGATTTTACTAATTGTGGGGGTAGATGGCTTTACAGTGGCTCTGACTACGCATACCTAGAGTCCTGTCCAGTCTGTCTGGTAGATGGTTTTACAGTGGCTCTGAATACACATACCTAGAGTCCTGTCCAGTCTGTCTGGTTCTTGCCTGAATCACTGATTCTGGACCATCATAAAGCAACCTGACCTTGGTTCAGGGTTGCCCAGTGAATTTTATTTAGTTGACATAAAGCCCACTGCTGTCAAAAACTCCTTAAGTTTATAATAACTCAGGTATGAATTTATCTCTTGCTCACAGTTGCCCTGGTCTGGGGGCTCTTTCCCTTCAAACACTGATCCAAGACCTCCAGTTCCTTCCTCTGTCTTGTGCTTGGCCATCTTAAGTCAGTGGAGGCTCATGGGTAGGAGAGGCTATGTGCTCAGGCCTGGCCCAGAGCATGCCGTTTCTGTCCACGTTGCCCTGGCCAGAACACCCCTGACCACATCTAACATGGGAGGCTGGGAATGTCATGGAATTGCATGTTTAGTGGGTGGAGAAATGGGCTCAGTGCACATGGCTGGTCTTTCCCATGACATGAACTTTAAAGGAAATGGAATAACTCATGGGATGGTTTCTCTACTGACTGTCTTCAAGTCAGACAAAAAAATTGTGTAATTTTATCTTGTATTTTTAAATTTTACCAGGCTGACTGTCCTTTAGGAAGTAGTGCCATGAATAACATCTCCACCATTGTGGAAGGTTGCCTTCCATTTCGTAAATCATGTTAAAGCCCATTGTCATTTTATTTAAAACACGAACTGCTGTTCATAAACAGCATTAACGTCACAGTCAGCCAGGACAGGAACCCAGATTTGTAATCCTATCTGCCCATTCTTACATAATAGAATTCCATGGACTCCCTGGCCCACAAGAGGACCCTGTGACGGCCAGTCTACTCTCGCATTACCTTGGTAGCTTAGGACGTTAGTGTGGTCCTGACTGGCAGGCAAGAGGCGGATGACGGTGACTTGTTGGACCAGGTTGGCATTGCTTGTGCTGCATGTGGTCCCCATTGCCCTTTGAAAGCTGGTACTGTTCAGAGCTCAAGTTCTTCATTCTTTCCGAGGTGACTGGAGAGAGGGGGGGTCTTAGGATCTCACCCCATGTTCAGGGGCTTTTACGTAGCAGGACTGGACAAAGGAGAGAATGAATACTAGCAGCTGGCGTCCTCATTGCTGGGTCAGCATTCAAAGGTTTCATGGTTATTATTTGGCTTCATTCATCTAGACCAGCAAAAAAGATGAAAAAGAGTAAGTGGTCAGAATGTCCTGAATCTTACTGCAGACCAGGAGGTAGGTTCATTTTGATGTGTAGCCATGATCAAATCTTAGATCACTTTGTGGCATGTTGTTGCCCAAGATTAAAAACAAAACAAGGGCTGGGTGTGGTGGTGCACACCTGTAGTGGCTCAGGAGGCTGAGGCAGGAGGATCAAGATTTGAAAGCCAGCCTCAGCAAAAGCAAGGCGCTAACCAACTCAGTGAAGCTCTGTCTCTAAATAAAATACAAAATAGGGCCGGGGATGTGGCTCAGAGGTCGAGTGTCCCTGAGTTCAATTCCCGGTAAACCAAACCAAACAAAAAACAAGTATGACAGCCAGGGAGAGAGGGACAGTGATGTAATATTGAAAATTCTTGTTTATGCTGTTGGATGCGAGGACTGGAAAGGTCTTGAAGATTATCACGCACCCTTCAGCTTCATTCATTGTAGCCTAAGTGTTTAAAAATGTTTGGAAAGTCAGCCAGTCGGAATGTTAACCAGAAGTCTCCATCTCTCAACTGTTGTACCACCAAAACACCATCCACAAGATCAAAATGAAAATGTTTGTTGGTGCGTGGGGTGTGCAGGACAAGAGAGGGAGTGTTGAGGGTATGTTTTTAGTGAGGACCTAAGATGGGGACAGTACTGTGAGGTGGGTGCAGTGTGGGATTCCACACCTCTTCTGCCCACAGTGGACTCTGGGCATTTTGTCGGGGGGATCGCCAGCTACCAGACCCTCCATCAGGTTCACGGATGGTCACAGCCGGGGTTTTCGTCTTGGAGCATCCCCTACCATGGGCCACTGACTTGCTAAGGGATCAAATGCAGGTAAACACGCTGATCTTATGGGATTGCTGTGGAGTTTGGGTCATGTTTATAAAGTGCCTTGCATGTAATTAATTTCTAGTAAATGATAATTTCTTCTTCTTCTTATAATTTTTGGTACTGGGATTGAACTCGGGAACACTCGACCACTGGGCCATTTATATTTATTTAGAGGCAGGGTCTCACTGAGTTGCTTGGTGCCTTGCCGTTGCTGAGGCTGGCTTTGAACTTGCCATCCTCCTGCCTCAGCTTCGGAGCTGCTAGGATTATAGGTGTGCTGGGGTTATAGGTGTGCACCACTGCGCCTGGCTGTGTTTTTTTAATTAATATGAGAAAAGTTATCCAAATAACTCAGCTCATCAGTCTGAAACTGATTGTCAGCATGCTGAACATGGGGCTTTCTTATGCTCTTTTAAAATGTTACTTAGGTCGCAGACATCAAGCCAGACATCAAGCAAATCCGGTGTGAGGCCCAATAAAAAAGAATATAAATGGCTTTTCAAATCTTTATTTGCCATCGTTTTTATTTTTTAATTCTTTTTTTGTATTTATGAACTTTGGAGTAATTGTCTACTAGTGGATTCAGATCCCTGTTTTATGTGTAATTTTCATCAGTTCAGAGATTGTTAGGATTGTTTTACCCAAAAAATTCACTAGAAGGCTATTAAGGGAAAATCCCTCA